GATAATGATATTAATTATAATAATAATGATAATAAAAACAGTAACACACATAGGTAAAACCAAGAAAAACAACAAAACTAATAAATAAAGTAAAAAAAAAAAAAAAAAAAAAAAACACACCACACACACACACACACACGCACAAAACGAAGAGTGGAAACACATATTTAGCCGCCCACCAGCATACCAGTTTATTTATTAGGCAAGATACACTGGTATTACGTAATGCACCTAACCTAGCCACATGGCCAGCGCTCTGAACCCACGTGGTGTGTGTACAACTCTACCTGTCCTTACCTTAATGTCTCTTTTTGCGTTCATATAACAACAACAATGGTGATGGTAGGGTTGTCGGTCACAATATGGCGAAGGAGAAAGAGAGGAAATAAGAAAAATATGATTAGGTAATTAGAGAAATGCAGTGATGTAATGATCTTATATATATATGATAATGATAATCTTATATATGATCTTATGAAATGTAATGATCTGATATACTTGGGTTGATATATGTCATTATTATGATTATTATAATCATCATCATTATAATTTTCATTATCATTATTATTATTATTGTCATTATCATTATCATCATTATAGATATAATGATGATGAAAATAATGATGATCATTATTATTATGATGATGATTTATATGTATATATATACATACAAACACATATATATGTATATATAAATATACATATGTGTACATATACATATACACATATATGTGTATATATATACATAGATACATAGATACATACATACATAAATACATTCACACACACACACATATATGTACAAATATGCATGTATATATGTATCTATCTAGATATTTTATGTATAGTAAATATTCATATGTACCGTACACATTCATAAATCTATCGATATATTTATCTATTTATGTAAGTTTATATATGTGTAAGTTTACATATATGTATATGTGTGTGTGTATGTGTGTGTGAGTGTGTATGTATGTATGAATGTATATATATCTTACATTCACAAACATACATATTCATACACACAAACACGCGCGTACACACACACACACACACACACACACACACACACACACACACACACACATATATATATATATATATATATATATATATATATATATATATATATATATATATATACTATCACTGTTTACGTAAATATGATTATTTTTGTTATTATTGTTATTATGTTTATCATGTCTTATATCATTATTACCACTTTTATTATCATTATCGTCGCCATTAGTTGCAACATTGGTATCATCATTACCATCATAATCATTGACATTACCATTATGATAATAATGGTAATGGTCATAATCACTAAATTTTAAAGATTCATTATCTTTATTATCAGCATTACTCTTGCTAATTAATTTTTGATCATGTTTTATTATCGTTTCATTACTAACTTTAATAATGTGCTCATCATTATCATAATCGATGCATTTTTCTTAACTTTTTCTTATTTTTTTATCATCATCGATATACTTATGGGCAGTCACGTGACACCATGACCGTCATGGTGAATATCTCATTTGTTTTGTTTTCTTTCATTCTTTCTTTCTTTTCTTTTTTTATATCTACTCTTAAATTTATTATCAGAGTCTTTACCATCTATTCACCGTGTTTACATTTTTCTCTTTCTATTGTTTTTAAATTTATCATATGTTTGTATTTTTTCTGTTTCTCTATGTCATACATCCACATTTACAGCCTTTTCCCCTATTTCTTTATTTCTATTATTGTGATCATTATCCGATTTTCATTGTTATAAGTTTTTCCATATAAATTAATTATTATCATGCCGTTTCTCAATTTATCATCATTATCGTAATTTACCTCATGCATCCACATTTACCAGTCTTGGTTCTGATTAACCATTTTTTTTAAGTTTTGAATATATTTACCATTCTTTAAGATCAATTGTCTTGTCTTAAAAGTTAAATAATCATTAAAAAAAAATATTAGTCTCTTTTTAAAACGAATCAAGCATTCACTCTCCACAAGAAATTAAATAATCATACAAAACCCATCATCCAGCCACATTATGCTCACATTTCTTTTTTTTATTTTCAAAAATCACGCGGCGAGCACATGATATGCATATATAGGTCGATCACGTGACGAGGTCCTGAGGCGACGGTTACAGAATTGGGAACCGTTGAGATCGCGGACTGGCGGCGGTTACGCGGCAGGTGGTGGTTCACACAGGAAGGGAGAAGGAGGGAAAGGCGGAGGGAGGGAGGAAGGGAGGAAGGAGGGAAGAGGGGAGGAAGGAAGGAAGGAGGGAGGGGAGGAGGAGGAGAAGGAGGGATGAGGGGAGGAAGGAAGGAAGAAGGGAAGAGAGGAGAAGAGGGGAGGGAGGAAGGGAGAAGAGGGAGAGAGGGAGCGAGGGGAAGAGAGAAGGAGGAAGAGGGAGGAGGGAGGAGAGAGAAGGAGGAAGAGGGGAGGGAGGGAGGAGAGAGAAGGAGGAAGAGTGGAGGGAGGGGAGGGAGGGGTGGAAGAGTAAAGGAAGGGAGAGAAGAAGAGAAAAGAGGAGGAAGGGAGAAGGAGGGAAGAGGAGAGGAATGGATGGAGGAGGTGGGATAGAAGAGAGAAGAAAGGAAGGAGAGGAGGGAGGGAGGAAGGGATAAGGAGGGAAGAGGGGTGGATAGAGAGAGGGTGGGAAGAAGTGGGATAGAATAGAGAAGGAGGGAAGAAGAGAAAACAGAAGAAGAGGAGGAAGGGGGGAGGAGGGAAGAGGGACGGGGTGGATAGAGGGATGGAGGGAAGAGGCTGGATAGAATAGAGAAAGAGGGAAGGAAGAAGGGAGAAGGAGGGAAGAGGAGAGAGGTGGTTAAAGGAACAGAGGGAAGAGGTGAGATAGAATGGAGACGGAATTGAAGGAGAAGAGGAGGGAGGAAAAAGGGGAAAGGAAAGAGTAAAAGGGTGGATAGAAGGATGGAGGGAAGAGGTAGGAGAGAATAGAAAAGGAGTAAAGGAGAGGAGGGAGAAGTAAAGAAGAGGCGGAAGGAAAGGATAAAAGAGGAGGAGGAAAGGGGAGAAGAAGGGAGGAGGTGGGATGGAGAAAGAGAGAAGAGGAGAAGAAGAAAGGGAAGAGGTAAGAAAAGGGAGGAAGGGAAGACGTGGATAGGAGAGGGAGAGGGGAGAAGAAGAGGCAATTAGGAAGGAAGAGATCGAGGAGAGAAGAGGAAGGGAGGAAAGGAAGAATGCTTAGAGAAGGAGGAAGGGAGGAGGGAGGGAGAGGAATAAAGGGAAGGAAATGAAGATAAGGAAGGGAAGGAAATGAAGAAGGAGATGGAGAGAAAGTAAGAGAAACAGAAGAAGTGACAAGAAGGAAGAAGGGAAGATATTCACCGAAAAGGGAGGAAGGAGAGACGGAAGAGGTGGAATAAGGAATAAAGGAAGAGGGGTGGATGGAGAGAAGAGAAGGAAAGAGAGAGGGACTCTCTCTCTCTTCCCTCCCTATCCCTCCCTCTTCCTCTCTCTATCTCTCTCCTTCTCTTCTCTTCTCTTCTCTTCTCTTCTCTTCTCTCTCTCTCTCTCTCTTCCTTTCTTTTTTTTTCTCTTTCCCTCCCTTTTTGTCTTTATCACTCTCACTCTTTCTCTCTTTCTGTCTCTCTCAATCTCTATCTCTCTCTCTCTCTATTTCTCCCTCTCCTCCTTTTACTTTCTTTCTCTCTCTCCCTTTACCTCTTCCTACCTCTTCCGCTCTCTCACTTTCTCTCTCCCTCTTTCTCTTTTTTCTCTCTCCCTCTCTTCCTCTCTATTCCACCCTCTCACTCTCTCTCTGTCTCTCTTTTTCTCTTTTTTCTCTCTCCCCCTCTTCCTCCGTATCCTGCCCTCTCACTCTTTCTCTCTCTCCCTCTTTCTCTTTTTTCTCTCTCCCCCTCTTCCTCCCTATCCTGCCCTCTCACTTTCTCTCTCTCTCTCCCTCTTTCTCTTTTCTCTCTCTCTCTCTCTCTTTCTCCCTATCCCCCTCTCCTCTCTCTCTCTTTTTTCTCTCTTCTTCCTCCCGCCCTCTCACCCTCTCTCTATCTCTCTCTTTCCCTCATCTTCCTCTCTCCTTCCTTCCTATATCTGTATTGTATCATTTCAAAATGTGATCCTTCCGTTTTTTCTTAAAAACAGGAGTGCTACAAAATACATTTTTTTATTTTCTTCTTTTCTTTTTATTCTTCTCTTATCCCTTCCCGCAGCTTTTAAATGTCTGGAAAAAGCGCGCGGTTTGTGCGTGGCGAGAATTATTTTTTTTCCTCTTTCTTTTCTTTTCTTTTCTTTCTTTTTATATTTTCTCAACGTTTGAGGTGAAGAACATAGACCTTTGTTTTTCTTCTTTTATTTTGATCTGTCATTTCATTTTGTCATTACTGTTAGATATTTATCACATTAATCTTCGTAAATGATAATAATAATAACAATAATAACATATGAATTAACATTTAACAATAACTATAAGGTCATAAGCGAGAATATTTTTTTAACATTTTTCTCACTTTTTTCTTTATCTTTTATCCGTAATTCGTCGATGAATATATAATCAATTAATGGGAATCAACACTCAGCAATAACAACATATTTACCTATATAGTATCACCAAAAACGAACATTTTTTTTAAATCTCGATTTTTTTTCAAAGATTACAATTTCTCATCTCCTTTTTTTCAAATATTCACATTTTTTTCTATTTTTGTCTTTTTCTTTTCTTTTCCTTCAAAGATCACAATGTTCTCATCTCCTTTTTTCAAATATTCACCTTTTTTCTATCTTTGTCTTTTTCTTTTGTTTTCCTTCAAAGATCACAATTTTCCCATCTCTTTATTTTCAAATATCCACATTTCTTTCTATCTCTCTTCGTCTTTTTCTTCCTTTTATTTATAAATCACAATTTACCTTTTTATCAAACATCCACACTTTTCTCTTTCTCTTTGTCTTCTCCTCATTTTTCCTTCAAAGATCACAATTTTTTCATCTCTATAAATCTGTTTTTTTCCTTCTCTGTCTCCAAGCGTGGTCGTTCAAAGTCGTACAGAGTGGAAACCTGTCGTGGGTCGTCTGCCAGGTCGTCAGTTTACACAACAACGTGCACCCTCGTCCGCCAGTGCCATCCAGTGTCACCTCAGCTTGAAATGGCGGAAGTGTATGCAAATGGCACTTCATTATTACCTTCTAGTTCTGAAGAGTGAGAGAGAGAAAAAGGAGGGAGGGAGAGGAGAGGAGGGAGGGAGAGAGAGGGAGGGAGGAAGGGATGGGGAGGAGGGAGGGAGGGAGGGAGGGGGATGGGAGGGAGGGGAGGGGGGAGGAGGGAGGAAGGGATGGGGAGAAGAGGGAGGGAGAGAGGAAGGGAGAGAGGAGAGGGAAGAGAGAGAGAGAGAGAAGAGAGAAGAGGAGAGAGAGAGAGAGAGGAAGGGAGAGAGAGAGAGAGAGAGAGAGAGAGATACAGGCAAATACAGAAATAGATAGATTAAAAGTGAAAGAGGGAGATGCAAAGAGAGAGAGACAGACAGACAGACAGAGTTTAAAATAAATCATATTAATATCCAAGAAGTTCGGTTTGTTCTCTCGTTGTGTGTCGACTAAATTAATTCTGGAGATTATGCTTGGTTGAATGTATCTATTGTTATTCTTATCACTATCATTGTTATCATCATTATTTCCATTATCAAGATTATCATCACTATTATCATTATCATTATCATCATAATCATTTTTGTTATCTTTATCATAATCAACACAGTTATTATCACCATTACCAAAATCATTATCAACATTAACATTATCATTATTATCATAATGATAATGATAACAATTATCATCAATTTCTTCATTATTATTGCTATTGTTACTATTATTACTAATTTTTATAATCATTATCATTAATATTTATTTTCTAGGTGTTACAAGCAAGCTTTATATAATACTTGTCCCTTAATAAAAATCACATAAAAGAAAGAGAAAAGAAAGAAAAAACGAAGCACGGAAAAGAGAAAAGAAAGAAAAAAAATAGAACGACAAAAGAAAAAAAAGGAAAAAGATAATGGAAATACACACAATTTAAAGAGGAATTTGAAATTGACAAGGATGCTCGAGTCTGCACGTGGCGGTTAAGTTAGGCCGGAGTCAAAGAAAATGGGAGAAACAGAAAATGGAAATAAGAAGGGAAACGGATAAAGAGAAAATGGGAAAAGGGGGAAAAAGAGAAAATTGGGGAAAAAAAAAGGAAAAAGAAGAGGGGAGGGAGAATCAGATGTGTGTGTGTGCGTGTGTGTGTGAGAGAGAGGGAGTGTGAGTGTATGCGCGTGTGTTTTTGTACGTCTATGTGTGCGTGTGAGTGTATGTACGTGTGTGTGTGTGTGTATGTGCGCATATATGTGTAGATACTAATAGATATATCAATAAACAAAAAAGGACAAAAAACTACAAAACTTAAAACATTAAATAATAAAAAAAAAAAACACACACAGCACTTAATTTGCTTTCCGTCACCAGGGCGGCGTAAGTGAAGGGCCCAATCACAGTTTTAAAAAAAATGACAATAAAAAAAAGATCTTGCTTGACGCCCGCATGGCAACTTTAGCTGAGAGAAACTTGGCCAAACGTGATATTGGCCACGTGGCGAAAGTGTTGTCATTAGTGTCCTTCTCATGAACATTATCGTTAATATTGTACCGTTATTGCCTTGTGATACGATGATGAAGATGATGATAATTGTGATGATGATAAGGTGATAGCAGAAACAGTATTAGAAAAACTGATAATAACAATGATAAACTGTAATCCTATCGGCCATTATCCGTATAAAAATCTACAACAAAATCTAACGGCATCAACACGACTACCAGTCATATAAATATTCAAACCCACATTTGGAATTCAGTAACTTGACCTCATTTCACACAGCAACTGGACTGAATTTGGCAAAGAGATTTATTCATTCCCAACATACCATAGCGACGTAAAGCGGTGTGTAAGCGACCGACCCGCAGGTTATTCTCACCAACAAAAGATCTTTATTTTGGCGCTTTTTTCTCTATTTCAGTTGTTTTCTTTTTATTTCAGAACATAAATAAACAAGTAAATTGCTGATTACATAAAAAAGACATGAGAAAATGAAAATAAATAAGAGAAATAGCATATACTAGTATTCTGTGTCTGTAATATCATTCGAAATGTTAATGATGATAACGAAAACTAATATTAGCAAAAATATAGTTAATTACAATTATCGTAAAAATAATCATAACTATAAGATAAAGATGGTAATGATAACATTGATAATAATGATGATATTAATAACAATAATATTGATAATAATGATAATCATATTTATAAATATACCGATAGTAATAATAATAACAATGATAATCATAGCATCAACATTGATAATAATGACAAATAATGAAATCAGTAACGAAAACAATGATACTTACGACGATGATAATGATAGAATAATAGGAACAATAAGAATGATAACAAAATGACAATGGTTTT